ATTAGTCTTTCCGTCTCGGTATACTGACTAAAATTATAATTTTAAATCTAGCTACTTAAAAGTAGCTAACAACCTCTAGTGATAAAAAAGGTATTCTCCGTATCGAAAATTTATTTTTGAAAATATTTTCATATTTATTATAAAACAGTGTAAAAAGTTTCTTAATTGCCAGTACTTGTAGCCATTATTTTCTAGTTTATTCATGAATGATATAATATTATCTACAAAAATATTATAAATATTACAAACTATTAAAAATGTTTTTAGCTGAGATATAATGATGCCTTTTAACATCATACGTAGAATAACGAGAATGGGGAAATTAATCTAGTTTAATATCAACGTTTTTTTTTCTGATAGATGGAATATCCTCAACGCATTTGGGAGCTATTTTCACAGGCATTATTCATTATGACTTTAAGGTGACAACTAGAATTGACAATGGATTCTTTACTAAAATCTTTCTAATGCTTATTATTTATTAAGTCCATTATTTTTTTATAGTACTGATTTTAATCACCTATTAACAATTAATGTAATTAATAGTATTGAAGCTATTTATTTCATTATATACATGTATATATATATAATCAGCCTACCTCAATTTTTGTGGATAAGCTAGAATTTTGTAATACAAGCTGTTTTAACATGTTCATGTAATACGGCAAATTGTTTTATAACTACTCTCTTTCTTCCACAGCATTGAAGCATTTTAATTTTAATTTTTCCTAATTTTGCTAACAATTTGCTCAAATGATTAAGTTCAAAGTTTGAATTTTTTTAACCTCCAAAAACGACAGAAAAAACTATTATTTCTTCTTAAAACTATAAAACTCTTTGGTTCGAGTTTATTATTTTATATTCATAATCAAAGCTTTATTTTTAATCTAAGTTATATAACATTAAAAAATGTTATTTCATCCAATTTCATACTCAGCAGGATTAACGTTATAATGTCCACTAATTAACCAGTTTTAGATTTCGTCTTTCTTTTCTGAATAACGCTTAAAGAATATATAGTGTGATACTTTTATTATCAGTTAAACTTTATTATATATTCTACTCTAGGTCTTAAAATAATATAATTGAATCATCTTACGAAAAATAAGTTGATTACAAAATAGAGAATTCAATAGAAATTTAAAAATAAGTACATTCATTGACTAAAATATATTCCTCTTGAATTATATCATGAAAAGTAAATTTTGCTCAAAAAATGCCATTCTTTTAATGGTATCTCTGTTGTTTTTTTTCTTTTTAATAATGTTTTATTTGAAGCAACAGAATTATCAAAATATTATAGCAGGTAAAAGTTAAGAATTATCAAGCCTATTGTAGGACTTCGTGTGATGATTTTTGTTTTTCATAGGGCTTATTTGATGAACTGACTAACTTGTTTTTAGTCTTTCTGGCTCATATGTATTCTTTATATTTAGATTCGATGAATCAACATGGAAATACAGTCATCATTACCTTCAACTGTTTTCAGGTTTTGGGGAAGTGGGCAATCTGAAAGGCAGAGTACCTTCGTGATAGGAACTCTTAAACTCTTATTTTGTTCTTTCCACTGTATCATTTTGTGCCAGAACAATATGTTTCCTGCTGAGTGTGAACACGAAGTCAAACATAATCAACGAAAAACTACATTAATATTTATCTTATAGCCATTTGAAAGTGAGACATGAAGTTTTGAAATTGTTAACTCGTCACCAAGTCACAAACAAACAAATCGTCACCAAAGTCTAGTCAATATACTGAAATATAACGATAGAACAAAAATATTGTATTCATTCAGAAGGTTTTTTGTTTTAGTAACTAAAAGCTTTACAAGTGGTTATCTGTGCTGTAATAACCGCAGAATCATAGAACAAATTTTAATTTTACAAGACCCCAATATTACCTTTGAACCACCAGAGGCCCACTTCAGAAGTAGGCTCTCATAAATTGAGTTTATCTTGTGGTATAAATTTTATTTCTTATTCAAAGCGGTTGTAAAGTAGCTTTGAAAATAAAGCTAATGAAAGAATGAAAGACCATCGTAGACAAATGGAACTAGGTATATATATAAGAACAAAATGTCCGAAGATCCTGCTGTATGGTTCTATATATCTTCAAGCTAGGTCTGTGCAAACCCAATACTCCATTTTCCCATTGCATAATTAATATTTTGACTTTATTTTAACCAAATTAATGTAAAAAATCTGTTTACTCAGTGAATACTTCTCAAGGAACTGTTAACATTAACTCTTTGTCAATCAAGTTAATGTAAGCATTATGTCTCTGTAAATCACATCATTTAAAAACCCTATCAATCAAGTTAAGGTAAACAATAACTCTATGTCAGTCAAATCACTACTAAAGTTGTCAATCAAGTTAAAGTAAACAATAGCTATCCGTCAATGACATATTATTGAAACAGTATCATGCGTACGAACAAATGCAATACAATATCTTTTATCTAGAAAATTAAATCATTACACTCAAACAAAACCTTATATTGTTCATCAAAAATAATTTTAAAGAAGAAATAGAAACGTCGTACCCCAGTAGAAACAAATTTTGTTCTACTAAGTAAAAATACTTGAGGTCGATAAGAAGGTAATATACTAGAAATGGATATCAAGTAAATATACTAGAAGAGAATATTAAGTTAATACACTATAACTGAATATTGCATTAATAGACTAGAAGTGGATAATAAGTTCATAGACTATAACTGAATATTGCGTTAATAGACTAGAAGTGGATAATAAGTTAACAGACTAGAAGTGAATAATAAGTTAATAGACTATAACTGAATATTGCGTTAATAGACTAGAAGTGGATAATAAGTTCATAGACTAGAAGTGGATAATAAGTTCATAGACTAGAAGTGGATAATAAGTTCATAGACTAGAAGTGGATAATAAGTTCATAGACTAGAAGTGGATAATAAGTTAATAGACTAGAAGTGAATAATAAGTTAATAGACTAGAAGTGGATAATAAGTTAACTACTAGAAGTGGGTGTGAAGTTAAAATACTAGAAATTAATACATATATGTATATCCTTGATATCAAGAAAAATCGTAGGATAAAAAAGTTGATAAGTCACATTGTAAGAAACCTGACAACTTGAGAGCTTTCGGAAGTAGTGTTTTATTATTTGTATCCACAGATTTTAATTTATATGTGTTTTGGTTAGGTATGGATATATATATATATGTATTCATGAATGACTAAGAATGGTAAGGTATGTAAAATTAGTCATTTTATCTTTAGTGTCATCAGGGTTACCTATGGTAGCCTACACTGACAACACATGTGTTTACGACGTATTTTTAAAGAAATAGTATGGAAATGATGGATTTCTTACAAAGCTACAAGAAGACTATTACTGTTATCCGTTTCTGATTTTGTAGTGCTAGATTAGAGAGAAGACAACTAATCAACATCATTCACAACCAACTCTTCGGTTACTCTTGTCAGACCGAATAGTGAGATTTAACCGTTACTGTTATAAGTAAAGCACTTACGGCCCCACTTTGCTGAAAGTGATTATATACCAATATATACTTTGCAAGTAATTGGTCGCGAAACAAGGAATTTCGGCTGCAATGTTCAACACGCTAGCCATTAGGCCGCATTCACCCCGGTGTGTCCAAAACAATAAAAGATAATAAAGGAGAAAGAAGTATAGGTAAATAACTACAAAGTTCAAGTTTAACATGGGAATTAAAATCGATTACAAAGTGAGATAAAGAAAAAATGCAAAGAAGTTAGATAAGCACAGAATATAAGGAAATAATTAAATAATTAATATAATGATACAAAAATAAGAAAAAATTAAGTTATAAAATTAATGAATCAAAAACAACCATCTTCCAAGTAGGAATAATTAATTTTATGAGAAATGACTTGATCTGTGTGTTTATATATTCCCGATGAGCTATATAAGTTGTCAATGTAGAAATGTCATAATGGACCATGTAGTTCTCGAAAAGAATCTCGTGTTTTGGATGTTTTTAAACGGGAAAAATGATACACGCGACCCTTAGTAATTCATTATACGTTCACCATTTCTATGACCAGCATATATACAATCTGTACTGCATAATTGAAAATTGTAAGTCGTCTCTTCATGATTTTCTTAGGGCCAGATAGTTTTGCGTTTTACCGAAAGGCTTGTTCCTAGAACAGGATAACAACTTTCCGTCTAATTTGTTGGTCATTTGCTGTTAATATGAATGGAAACACCACGGGGAAGTTTAGAAAGAGATGTCATCAGATTTTACAAAATAGTATAATTTTCATGACAGATTGGTAAAGGATTTCATTTTTAAAGAGCAACAAGTACAAGAAACGTGCGCTTTTTTAGCACATTACGTTGAACCAAAACAACTTAATTTATGATGTTCAAGATACAGTTTAAACTTTTGTTGTAAACCTAGGTTCATCGGCTTTTAAGGTTTCTAACATTTAATATGAGTATCGAATGATAGCTAATTCGAAAATATAAACCAAGAAAAACTATTCTTAACAATTACTTTTTTATCGCAGTAAAATATAATTGATAACACAGGCTTGTGAATTTAAACTTCATAAAAGTTGTTTTGGTTTTTAGTAACAGATTTTACATAATTCAGCTACGCAGAGTTCGAAAATAATATTCATTTTTTTTCTATCACGTAAGGATTTTTTTTACAAATCTGGAAGAAAAAACTCCTACTTTGATCTAATTATTATTTCGTTTACCACAATGAACATTTTTTATTATTATGTTTCATTTTGATTTTCTTTGTGAAATCTACGTCTTTTAGTCTCAAACTACGTGTTGTGGTCTTTTATGTGTTGCGTTATGACGTTTTGTGAAAAATCTCTACGCGATGGAGAAAAATGGACATCATTTTCGGATTCAGTGTACAAGAATTACTGTAGAACACGTAAAAATTTCTAAGCAATAAAACCATCGCAGACCTGTGTAATTTGTGGACAGCAAAAAAGATTAAAGTCTTTCTAACATAGAACGAGAAAAGTTTTATTTTGAGTGCATGTTTTTTTTCATTTTCATAGCTTACATATTTTATTAGTTCAGTACATTAATAATACAGATTTCGGAAGTTTGAGTATTACGAAGCACGTGGAAACAAATTCTGGCTGAAGGGTAAAATAAATAAAAAGCTCTGTCCTTTAAAATTCCTCACCTGTCACTACATATCTGGCCTTCATCTTGAAATTAGTGAATTAATTTTCAACTTAGATCTATTATTAAGAAAAATTAAATCAATACAACAGAAGCAAACATTCAACTTTTTAAATTGCTACAGTGTTGCAGAACTAAATAGTAAGATAACTGTCTAAGTAGAAATACATTTTGAGTTTTATTCGAACACCAAAATTAAAGGCTGGAAAATTAGGGTCATTGAAGCTTTGTTCTGGTGTATTAGTTCAAATTACTGATTTCCTCAAATAGTTGGGACAGAAGAGAAGAGGGTTTTAACAATACAGGGCGCTTAGAATACTTAATCCAGGGCTTAATCCATGAACCCAGTGCTAACGAGTTTATCTAAAAATAGCTTAACGTCAGCGAGTTCAGAATCCCTAAAGCCTAAGGCTCTGAGCATGCTCAAATCGCCGGTTTCCACAGCCATGAAAACGTGCCTCAGATGGTCTAGGTCTGACCTCATCAAGTTTAGAACCTTACCGAAGTCTTCTAATGTGTCAGATTCTGCCAAAATAAAAAATAAAAAATTATACGATATTTCCTAGAAAATAGCTTGACCTACATAAGAGTGTCTATTAATTACGTTTTATTTCAGAACAAGAATTTGGGTAAATCTAAAACATTTTTAGCTTGGAAACTACTTTTAGAAAATACATCTTGGATATTATTCTAAGTATTCTATTCTATTATTATTCTAGTAATTCTAAGAATCTAACTAAATTAAGATAGGCATGTATGCCCTTAAAACGCTTTAAAGATTAAGTAATCAGAATCTATAAGATGCAGGAAAGTGTTCATTCACAAATTAGTTTTTTGTTTTTTTTAAAAAAAAGACGATTCGTTTGACATATGATAAAGAATTAAAGACAGGATCGCTTAGCATGAAATAAGATATTAAGTAAAAGAAAAATTAAAAACATTTTACCTGATAGTGCAACTGCTACCTTGCCAACTCCACCTAGCGGTGCTAGTGCATCTCGAGCCTTGCTTCCGAACAGTTTCTCAAGATAGTTGGGACCGTGATTGATCAATAAAGTCTGAAGGAAATTAGCTGTCTCTTCTACAGGAGGGCGCTTTGCTACAGAAAATATCAAAAAATGTATAGAAATCAAATTACTGTAACAGGATATACGTTCTTCTCATCTTAAAATATAGTTGCAGTCTTTAATTTATTGTTTAGTTTCAATTTGTTTTGTTCAAATAATTTTATTTTATCCTACAGGAATATTTATTATCTCTAATTTTACTGAATTTCTGTAAGTAAAACGATGAACCTTGAATAAATGTGCTACATTTCTCTGTTGTTAAGCAACAGTACTAATGTTTTCTCTGTCTTAAAAAGTACAAAATGTACCCTTTGGAACATAGAAGACAAATGTACTAATCTAGTTGGGCTTGGGATGACCCTCTGGTAGTTTGTTTGTTGTTAAGCACAAAACCACACAATAGGCTATTTGTGCTTCGCCTGCTGCGAGTATCGAACCCATATTTGTTATTGCTATAGACCCTTAGACATTCCGCTGAACTATTGGGGACCACAGTGGACGAGCTCTAGACTTCGAAGCTGGCGAGCTGGATTCGAATCTATGTGCTACCACAAATCTTCCCTGCGGGTGCGTTGTATGAGTGAAAGCCCTTAGTGTAGATAGTGGGAGGTGGATTTCTGCTAACTTGTTTCCTTCCCTGAGGCCAGTAGCTCAAGATTAGGGACTACGGTAGATAGCCTTATTAGATTTCCCATAAAATAATTGTTTGTTTGTTTTGAATTTCGCACAAAGCTACACGAGAGCTATTTGTGCTAGCCGTCCCTAATTTAGCAGTGAAAGACTAGAAGGAAGGCAGCTAGTCATCACCACCCACTGCCAACTCTTGGGCTACTCTTTTACCAACGAATAGTGGGATTGACCGTAACATTATAACGCTCCCACGGCTGAAAGAACGAGCATGTTTGGTGGGACTGGGATTAGAAACCTCTATTCCATAAAATAAGAAAATACAAAAAATACTAATTATCTTTTTTCATAGATTCATAAATAAATAAAAAAAAATCAGGATGAATGTACTTAATATTCTATATAAATGAGAACCACATAGCTTGATAGAGAATTTGCTAATATAAGATGTAATGTAAATCAAGAAGACTTCCAATCAGAAGAGAAGTAAAACCGAGCATTTTCTGTGTGTTCAAAGTGTTGTATCTCCTATGCTATTATGTGTAGCTACAAATGAACTTAATTTTAGAACTTCGTACCTGTTGTTAAAAAAATAATTAACTTCCCACAAATAATGACAAAACCTTGTCGAAACGTTGTACATTTGCTGTCATGTTAAACTTATATTAAAGTTTTTCTTCATTACCCATTTAAGCCGTCTCCAGCCATTATTAACTTCCCAAGTTGACATTTGGAATCACTACAACTTGAAGATCTTCTTCCCTTCTTCAGTAATATTTCCGAGCTCAATAGGAACAATCGAATTTAAATAATATATTCCCTGAATAATAAGTAAGATAGTTTTTTATTCAGTCTTAACCTTGATATTAAAACCAAAGTCTTTGAATGACTGGTTATTGAGGGCGATTAAAAACTATCTTAGAACAAAAATATATTTGATAACTTTCTTCAAACTTTTATTGTTAGTATATCATGTCTTGTTTTTCCGTTACTGCACCAACCTTTAACTCTAAATAAGATAAAACACACACATACCGAAATAATCGCCCGACATTGACACGAATAAACAAAGCAAACACAAAAACAAAACTAACATGAATTTTAAAGAAGAGGCTCGAGGGAAATATATGATACCTTTCCAGTCTATCGGACTAGCTAACGAAGACAATCGAAGGAAATGGATTCTATCTTCTACGTGTAATAGAAGTAGTATAAATCACAATGTTAGCTTTTATGTTTACAGTATATGATCCTAAAAGTCAAATGTAATAACATATAACATAACATTAACGGACCACAAGGAACATTTTGGTTCATCTAGGCCGTCCTATTCACTAAGTTAATCTAAACACCAAAAAAATTAAAGCGAGCCCTTATCATTCAAGTATTTATGACGCTTTTTTTAAACTCCCTTAAATTAACAGCATCTACTACATTTGAAGGTTACTCGTTCTAAAGGCAAATCATTCTATTAGAAAAATAAAGCTGTCTTAGATGAAGATTATTCTTACCTTGTCAAAATTTATATTTGTATTTCCTAGTCGTACAATTCTCACCATTAAATACGAAAACTTGGGGCATCAACACTGATAATTCCCTTCACAATCATAAATACCTAATATCTCCTCTAACTCTTCTTATTTAAAAAAGAAAACAAGTTCAGAGATATTCATATATCCTTCTATGACAACCTTTACATTTCAGATATAATTCTAGTAGCTCTCCTCTGAACCCTTTCCAACAATTCAATGAACACTGTACTCCAAATGTGGCCTAACCAATGATCTATTCAATGAAATTATAACCTCTTTAGACTTGTATATTCAATATTTCTGTAGATGCAGCCTAAAATTCCATTTTCCATGCCACTGGGAACAGCACACTGCTTGGATGGCTTAAGAGAATGATGAATCAGAACACCAAGATCTTGTACTTCTATATCACTGTTAAGGTTATTCCCGTAAAAATTATACTCATAATTTAAATTGTGATATCCCACATACATCACCTTACAAATATTGTAATTGAAAGCCATCTGCCATTTATTTTCCCAAATCACAAAATAATCCAAACCCTTTTCTAAAGCAGCAACACCCTTCGCACAACCAGCAACATCCAAAACTTTAACGTCGTCAGCAATTGTAATTAATTTATTGACCATTCCTTCATTTATATTATTAATGTAAGTCAATGTGTATCATTATGAATCTTGAATACACAGGGTACTCAAAAAGAAAAGCGATAAATAGACAAGTGATAATTCTAAATATATTTGATTGTTTTTAGTTTTTACTTTCTTCATGATTAACACCCACGAATTAATGCAACTAGATCTTTACTTTTTACTATATTCCTATATTGAAGCCCCCCAGTGGCACACTTTTATGTTTGCGGACTTATAATGCTAAAAACAGAATTTCGATACCCGTGGTGGGCAGAGTACATATAGCCCATTGAGTAGCTTTGTGCTTAGTTCTAAACAAACAAGTGAAAAAATAATAGGCTCTTAATAGCGCTATTTTAGTTTGAATAATGGTAGCAAAAAGACTCCAATAAATTTTAAACTGAAGAGTTTACTTTTTACAATAATTGCAAATTAATAATAATTTAAACAGTTATTTAGTACTTGTTTTCCAAAACATTTAAGCTTACATAAAACCAAGATTATTTACAAATTGTAGCCTCAATTCAATCAAGTTTACATAATACCAACATTATTTAGTATTTGTCTTTTCCAAACATTCAAGCTTACATAAAACAAACATTATATGACATTTGTTTGTTCTAAATGTTCTGGATTAAAACCAACAATCGTTAATACTTGTTTGTGCAAAACTTCAAGATTACATAAAACTAACATTCTTTACTACTTTTCCGTTCAAAACATACCAGATTATATGAAACGAACGTTATTTAATACATGTCTGTTCGAAACGTACAAGATTACATAAAACCAACATCATTTAGTACCTGTTTGATAAAACTTTAGTATTCAACACTTGTATGTTGAAAACATTCAAGCTTGCATAGAGTCAGCATTATTTAGTACTTTTCTGTTTGATCCAAACATTCAAGCTTATAAAAAGCGAACTTTATTTAATACCCGTATGTTCAAAACGTTCAAGTTTACATAAAACCAACATTCAGTGGCCATTTTGTCTTGCAGTTTTTTTATTAGTTTTGTTATATAACCAACAAAACAGAGGAACAGAGGGTTGTATTGTTCTTGTATACTTTCGTGAAACAAGTCAGAAAAACATTAAACGTATTTTCTGTGTCAATTGCAAACAATAAAAAAAACTGAAATTTCAGATGTTTTAATAACAAAACGATCCATCTTAACAGCAATAAACATTCGAAAAACGATCAACATACATTTATCTACAAAACAACTAACGTCCACAAAATAGAAAACCTGAAGCTTACCATTCCATCTATCGTGATCATCTTTTTAATCTAACATATAATGTCAATTATAACTTAAGTTTCTTTTCGCCCATATTAATTTATTTGTGATGTCTTTATTTGATGCCTTTATTTCTTTATCTTATTTCTAGATGAGAGTTAAACATACTAGTGTTTCTAGAAAACACATATTGATCCATTTAATCAGAATTGAACGCGTGTAGGAAATTACAGATTATAAGAGCTAAAAATCTCGTAAAAACTTGTATCTGAGAAAATACGTTTCCAAACAAATTAGATTATATTTCTAATGAAGCAGCACTGCAATGCATGCTGAAAAAGCAAAATAAAGCTGTATAATTAAGATTCATGTATTATTCAGTAGTAGTTATGCATCAACTCCTCAATAAATTTAGAATCTGTAATGATTCGCTGAAATAAACTGACTACTCTAATTTTTAATTAAACTAAAGAACTGTAAATATTCATTCGGGTGAAGTAGTTTGTTTGTTATAAAGCACAAAGCTATACAATGGGCTATTCATGTATGTCCACCAGAGTTAAAGAAGTTGAGAGAAAGTGCAAAACAGTCAGTGTTAATATCTTAGATTAGCCATTAGATACAGAACATAAGGAGCAATTGATCTGCTTCTTATTATGGTTCTTTCAGAATGCTGATATATATTTCGTTTTAAAAGTGATGTATTTTGGTAACAGTAATACTTTTTGCATGTGTTACGTAATTGCATGTAATTATATATTATAATTTTCGATATTATACAAAAATAAACATTGTCATTTAAGGCTATGGTTCATTCATCTTGCTGAATATGCACATAATGTTGTACTCACACAGACACGCACGCAGAGGCAGTATACAGAAATGACATAACATTCATATGATAAATATATAATGGGTTGTTGTCTTAAGGCAGTCCTATATAATAAAATATCTGCGCTTTACCCATTGCGGGGAACTGAGTCTCGGTTCCTAGCGTTG